AGCAAACACCCTCTTCCAACAACACAAGAGAAGACTCTACACATGGACATCACCAGATGGCCAACACCGAAATCAGATTGATTATATTCTTTGCAGCCAAAGCTGGAGAAGCTCTATACAGGCAGCAAAAACAAGACCTGGAGCTGACTGTGGCTCAGATCATGAACTCCTTATTGCCAAATTCAGAATTAAACTGAAGAGAGTAGGGATAACCACTAGACCATTCAGGTATGACCTAAATCAAATCCCTTATGAATATACAGTGGAAGTGAGAAATAGATTTAAGGGACTAGATCTGATAGACAGAGTGCCTGATGAACTATAGACAGAGGTTTGTGACATTGTACAGGAGACAGGGATCAAGACCATCCCCATGTAAAAGAAAGGCAAAAAGGCAAAGAAGTTCTCTGAGGAGGCCTTACAGATAGCTGTGAAAAGAAGAGAAGCAAAAAGCAAAGGAGAAAAGGAAAGATATTCCCATTTGAATGCAGAGTTCCAAAGAATAGCCAGGAGAGATAAGAAAGCCTTCCTCAGCGATCAATGCAAAGAAATAGAGGAAAACAACAGAATGGGAAAGACTAGAGATCTCTTCAAGAAAATTAGAGATACCAAGGGAATATTTCATATAAAAATGGACTCAATAAAGGACAGAAATGGGATGGCGGTGTCTTAGGTTAGGGCTTTTCGCCGGATGGCTATCCCACGGTCTGGGTTGCTATCTCAAGTCAGTTCGCTCAGATTGCCCTCAGGACATTCAGGCCTAGTCCTTACCCTAATCAACGCAGCCCGCACCTCCCTGTCCAGTCCCCGCTTGCTAGCAGTGGATGCAAGTGTCTGCGTGCCTTCTCTGCTGGGAGTTGCCTTTAGGCACGTAATCTTTGGGTTTTAATTATTTATTTATTTTTCCTCCCAGTTATGTTGCCCTCTGAGGTTCCAATGCTTGCCATAGACCCGCTGGTGAGAGTGTTTCCTGGTGTTTGGAAACTTCTCTCTTTTTTAAGACTCCCTTCCCCGGATGGATCTCAGTCCCTACCTCTTTTGTCTCTCTTTATCTTTTATATTTTTTCCTACCTCCTTTCGAAGAGTGCCTGATGTCTTCTGCCAGCATTCAGAAGTTGTTTTGTGGAATTTACTCAGCGTTCAAATGTTCTTTCGATGAATTTGTTGGGGAGAAAGTCGTCTCCCTGTCCTATTCCTCTGCCATCTTAGGACTGCTCCCCCCATATACATATTTCAATGCTATTCTCTTAAATCATCCCACTCTCGCTTTCTACCGCACAGTCCAGAAGTCTGTTCTTTACACATGTGTCTCTTTTGC